CTGTTGTTGTTGTTCGCCAATCTAACAAGTGTTCCACCTTACCGGGGTCGATTTTAATACCTTCCCCAGATATACGGTAGCCTAAGAGCTGTATTTCGCTCATGGCGAAGTGACATTTCTTCTCGTTAATCTTGGTTTTGTTCGTTGAGTCTCTTAAGGACTCGCCTGACTAATGTGGCATGTTCGCCCTTAGTCTTAGAAAAGATGACTATGTCATCTATATAGACTTGCACGCTAGGTATGTATGCAAGCATTTCCTCCATTACTTGTTGGAAGAATACTGGTAAGGAGTGCAACCTGAAAGGTGCACCTCTAAACCTGTATTGTTTACCTTTCCAGGTAAAACTAAAGTGCTTACGATGGGGCTCATAAATTTACATTTGATGATACCCCTGTGTTAGGTCTATGGATATAAACACCGTAGCACCTTCCATTCGTCTCAGTAACTCGTTTATACGAGGGATATGGATACTATGAGTAGGCAATAACTTATTTATTGGACTCATATCTAGACATACTCTGGCTTTCTTAAATGTTCCGTCAAAGTTGTGTTGATCAACTGCCAATAATGCTAACTTAACTGGCGTTTGTTGGTAAGTGATTTCGATTACCCCATCGGATAACCATTCCTCAACTTGTTCTTTAACTACAGCTTCGTGTCTCCAAGAAACATAGTTTCTTGAAGGGCATTTGGGCTTAGTAAAGTCTACCTTGGTTGAGTCAAGGCTGACATATTCGTCGTTAAAACGGAATTTTGCCCAATCTGTGATCTTTATCTTCTTATTTACTAGAATCAGATCCATGATTTTGTCCGCAAAGTCAGTTATTAATGCCTTGACTGTGTCTGACGGGGGCTTATATGGTTTCAGGCAGTTATCGTCTGATTGATCCTTTAATGGATCTATGTTATTTGGTAACCCAGTTACGGTTATACCCAGAGTGAGTAAGTCACTCATTCCGACTATTAAGTCGTACTTCTGTGATATCTTAACTATCACAGCTTGGGTAGTGATATATCTAGCATCGGCCAGGGAGATTTTAACATATGTGGCCATTGTATCACACTTAGAAGTTTTGTCATCTGCTAAGATTAGGTGAGTAGTTTGAGTTCGCCTTTCAATGTCTTTCATTAATGCAAAGCGGTCGGATATACATGAAATTTCTGAACCAGGATCAATCAATGCAAGGACTTTATTTCCATTGCAATATACAGGGATTATTACACGCTCGTCTAAAGAGTCGTTCTATTTCCTTTGTAACGATTGTACCTGAAAGTACTTTCACTCCAACTTAATGTCGGGCTTTTGTCACAAGACTTGGCGTGATAGCCATTGGTCTTCTCACACTTGTCACACTTAGTAAGAAAGTGTGTACATGTGGATGCATGTCTGCCATTCCAATAACCGTTAGGGGTCAATTGGTACATATCATACCCACACTATGCGTCGGCACATTTCTTAATCTCCTTAAATGGAGGTTCCTTGTCCTTCGCCTCCGCGCGTGCCCGTTTATTGGGCCGCGTTGATTGAGTGGAGTCGCGAGCACGTGTCTGGTTAGGACGCGTCTGATGAGGTTTCTCATATGACGTCTGGCGTGAGAGATATCCTTGATCAGTGAGCTCGCGCGGTTTCTTATGTACCGCCTTCCCCTTCGAGGCTACTCGCGTGTGCGGGAAAAAAGGTGGATACAGTATCAAAAAACTGTTCCCACGTAAGTCGGGATAGATGAAACTTTGTTTCATGTCCCTTGTCTCGAGCTTCAGTGGCGTATTTACGTCGCAACTCGGTGTACAGACTTTCACGGTCGTTGTTCCCTATGTTCTTACAGAAAACATGCATACCAGGAACTCGTACCATCGCTGCGCATTGTCTTATCAAATTTCAGAATATAACTCTGAATAGGAGTATTCTCAACTGGTTCAGTTAAGATTGAACTCAATCCTGGACTTCGCATGTCCTTGCTTAATAAGAACGTAACCAACCAACACATAGCTGGCCAGTCACGACAAGTGTCGAGCTCATGCTGGTGTTGCTGCAGGATCAAATAACTTGTTCCTGTAGGGTCAAACGACTGCATTAAAGCAGAAATCCATTGCTGGGGAGCGATATCATTCGTCTCCAGCATGACCGTAAACGCATTAAGCGTACGGGTTAGCGTGTCGAGGTCATGGTTGTTTATAAACTCGACTTGCTTGCTGTTGGCATCCCAGTTCGACTTAAGTAGACTGATCTGTCCTTTGTACTTCTGGTTATCCCGGTGGTCTTGCCCACGTTGGGCCTGAAGTAGCTGATCGATGCGCTTCTGCTTGATCGCGATCATATTAACAAAATATGATACGTCATCAGCACGGTGCTCGGCATGGGCGATTTCCATCTTAATGGTGTAATCGTCGACCGACTTATTAAGTTCGGTCACCTCGTCAGAGTGAAAATCCTCTGCGGGCTGGTGTAATGCTGTGCGATCGATTAAATTCGACATCGTTAACACGTTTACGGGAGTGTTTATTACCCCTTGTAAAGTCTATGGTCGAGGCCTTTCGGTGCTCTGTTCCTTGGATAGTAGTTGGTATTATAATCTTGAGTGATTCATGCGTCTGGATAACATATCCAGTCTTAACTGGTTTCCGACGATTGTCATCCCAGTTGGGTAAAGGTGGCGGAGTATTTTTACCTGCCTCTAGGTCTATAATACCCTCAAGGACGGGCGACTCGTGGCCGGGCGTTAGAACAGGCGAATAATTAGCCTGGAGTTCTGGTGGTAGTACCTCATAAGGTATAGATAAGCTGAGCACATCTGGCTCATCTGCCACAGGTGTAGCGCTCAGGCCTTTACGCTTTTCGGGCGTAATTGCCAGTCGACGTTCTGTTCACTTCTGTAAGGCTTCAGTAATGCCCGGAGAAACATGCTCGCGTAAGTGCTGTGTATGTTTTCCTGATCTATACATTCGATCTACATGTTCAACAGTCATGCCTTCCATAAAGGCGGCTAACTGATTCTTAAGATCAGTGTTTTCAGTAATTAACTTACCTATGCGCGTTGATTCAGTGGTCTCGGACGTAGATTCGGGTTTGCCACTTGAGCTTGCCTCCTCTTCTGGTTCCGGTATAGGTACCTTCTGAGATTCGTCTTTGTCCCATATAATTGGGGACTTTTCTTTCTGAGTTTCGTCAGAAGAGTTGGTTGGGGCGTCTTGAGACGTATCGCTTGCCTCACTTCTTGGCTTCGTAAATGCAAGCTTTGAAGTTGAGGCAATAGTTGGCCCTCGGGCTCTATCTGTAGGAGTAGTTTTAATCGGAGTGGCTACATCCTCATCCGAGGCATTGTCTTGACTATTATTGTCGGAGACAAGTGCTTCGGCTACGGTGCGGTTAAACGCATCGGCAGCAGCTGCGGTTGCTTCTGCGGCAGCGGTAGCTGTTGCAGCGATAGCAACTTTTCTTTCCATCATTTTACGTTCGGCCTTGCGTTTCTTTGCAGGCGTATTGTCTTTCTTTGTCATAATCTTAACTTATGACATCAGTCTTATTCTCTTAAGGAATGACTGTGCTTAAGAAAAAATTCGTGGTAGTTATCTACCTTTACTTTTAAGTAGTCTAAATAATGAATACCTTTGCTAAATTTGAAATGTGAAGTTTCGGTCTATCAAGGCGATATTAACGCCTTAGAGTAATTAAACGCTTAGGTTAAGTCTAAGTATAGTTGAATTCGAAATAAATAGACGAAATGAGGTATTAAAGTTAGGTATGCCTCGTGAAAACCGCAATACTCTGAGGGATTGTGAGGCTGAGACATTGCCTATATATAATTCTCTTAGTACTTTTTTCGCCGAAGGGATTTTATTTAATGTTTCGTTGTCGCTCTATTAGAAACTACGGTATGTTTCGTTGGGGCGAATCCGAGAGACTCAAAAAATCCTATCTTTAGAAAAAAAGAAAAGAAGACTAACCAATAACTTGCCACTTGTCAAGAATTACCGACTTAGCCTTCATCAGACTGGCACATCTGGTTGGCTAAACGGAGGATAAACTAAGCAACGCTAATAGAATGCATTAATTAATAAAACCATTTTGGAAACTTAAGTTCCTCGCACTATTAAGAGTACGTTTAGAGTTTACGTACTGCTTAAGAGTACGTTTATAACATTGAGTCTAATGTGGAGGCCCGGCTATTACACTGATAGTACGATCAAATGGATTGAGAGGCTGAAGAATGATCGTTTCTGTAAGGAGCAGACTGGTCAACCAAATCTACATATACTTCCTGCTTTATTTGAATGGCTAAACAAAGACAACACACTCGGCGACATGTCTATGTGGAATCAGTAAATGCGACAGAAATGTATACAGATCGGTATTCTCGAGGACTGTGCACTAATTGATAGTATGGACGACTCAGATGATGTCCTATTACGATCAGGGGAAAGAATAGAAGTAAGTTATCGACATGGCATCGGTTTATAATATTCATATGTGTTTTCCGAAAGTCCCGCAATAACCCGGGGAGTATAGGGTGATATTTTGACGTAACTGGGGATATAGCAAAGTATGTATATATTACATTCGTCATAGCAATCAGTTATGTATTCTAACATAGACTGCCTTTTCCTACAACCAAGCAAACAGCCAAATATACGCCTGAGTGCACTCGTATTGCACTCCATTTGAACAATGATGTGGGAATACTTATTGGTGATGCTGCAGAGTGTAGGATGGAGAAAGCGGGCTGTGACGTGACTGCACAAAATGTGTGTTATAACGATTACAAATCATTTCCAACGTTGAAGTTTATCGTTATATTCGAGGGTGGAATATACATCGTAGACATTGCAAAATCATTCACTGGATCTTCTACCGATACTGGTATGCACAACTCAGAGAACTATGGACTGCGTATGGTAAATTGTGATGGCAGTACAAAGATTGCATATATGTTCGATAAGGGGTCGATAGATCGCTACGAGCTGGATAAACTTGGCATATGCGTGTGTACACCTAGAAAAAATGATTGGTCAATATGCGTTTAGTGAGGAACGGTCACAGGCAGACCGTGATATAGCGCGCGAGAGAATTACTATCGAACGCAACATGGAGGAGTTACGCAATTATGCCGGTTTCGGGGGTCTGAATAAAACATTGTCTGAGATAGATATAGCTGACCATGAAGCGCAGGTGGCACGAGGATTGGTGAACTTGGATGCACCAATCACAGATTGGTGGATGCCAAAATAAGAGCAGGGTGAAGACTTAGTGGATTCGGATATAACATTTGATGGAATAGATTTTGATGTTTCAGACGAAAGTGATAACGACTTAGATGTAGTTAAATGTTAAATAAAGCTTTTATTGATAATTTATTTATGCTACTTGAGCTATTATTTCGTTATCAGGAAGCCAGTCTAGAACCTGGTCTACCTTTAATCCTCGTACTGCCTTCTATGCACTAAAGCTAGCTAACTTCAGGGTTCTAAATCCCATAAACAACTTGTGTTCCTCTTCGTCCATGTCTTCTCTAAGTACCTTCATATGCGACGAATGTAGAGGATTCCACCTAGACCTGTTAATAGCGCATGAGAAGTCCTTGCTCTGATCGACAAATTCTCTTGCCAGTGTTATGGCATGTTGATTTGGATTGAATTTTCTGGATTTGGGTCTTTTGGACCAACTACACTGACCATCAGTTGATCCCGGGTCCCCGATTTCTTGGATACGTTCCAGCACAGCTCGTATGTGCACGCAATTCGAATGATTGTGACATGGGCTCACTTTAAGAATATTTGTTTTTCCTTCTCCTTCATCAGTGGCAACACGTTTCTGTTTAACTAATGGCAATAAACAGTTCGCATCCTCAATGTTGTCCATAAACCACGACTTTGTTGATTTATCCCTATTGATTATCGCTACGCATATAACGCTCATCTTGTCGTGCCGGTAGCTGCGCGAAACCTTGCTCCTTATGTACATTAACATGCGATGCTTCCTCTGTGGATCGTCGTTCAGCTTCACATAGCCAGTTTCCAAGTCGACGATGAAACGATGCTCTTGTTCCTTAGTTTGTCGGCGTGTATAAGAAGCTTTACCTTCTATTACTAACAACTACCTTCTCGATGACATCTTGATTGTATGCATTAAACGTAATATCATTGCATGTATCACGCAGATCTCGGTCGGCAGTCAGCCTAGTTGCGAGTAAAGCAGTAGGTACCTCCGGAATAGGCATTCTTTTAAGTGTTGTACTTGCTGTGTGCAAGTTGGTCGTTAGGTAATCCACCATCAACGATTTGGATCCGAATCGCTGAGGTATTACAATATCTCTTTGTATAGCATACTGGTGAAGTGCAGGCTTCAGCATGCAAGAAAATGATGCTATATCGCTCTCTACGGATGTAGTAGACCACAATCGGTGCCAATCCAATACGCGGACTCCACACGCACTCGCACGGAGGAAAACGAATGTCAAATATTCCAAGCCGGTAACTTTTTTGATCATACCAGTCTAATGTATAATGATCAAAAAATAAACACTCTTCCATAACACGGTCGGCTACACCGAGCCTATTTCTCGTCTTGCTGGAGTCAGTATACTGTATAGCTGATCTATCTCATATCCACTAGTTATTACATCTTCACCCCATATATCTATTAGGCCGTCAGCTACGTACACACAGTGATTGACCATACAAGAACTGGTTGAAAAAATCAGAAACTTTGTTATATTCAAGTCCCTATATATCTCGTTCACCCTTTCAGGTGCTTTTCACTTATACATGAACGCCGATTCGACAGTGAGTGGCCCTTCTACGTTTGCAAGCCAAGGGCAGAATGTCTGTACTGTCACACTAGTACGAATTCTATAATCGCTCTGAATTAGTAAAGCAGCCATGGGCACTGTATTGTCAAACCCGTATACAATTACAGCACGCAAGAACTGCATCTGATAAACCGTTAGGAATTTTAATTCCGACTCGTCGCTCTGTAACTCAGCCTTGTCGAATAGACTATTAACTCTTGCCCTCTTGCAATTACGTCTGTAAAACACATTGGCGATACCACTTATCTATTTGTTGTCAAGTATAATACGATCGCACCCAATAACTATATAGTCTGCATCGTAAGCCAATATAAAATCTATTTGTCCCTGTAGCTGTAGCGCGAGCAGCTGTTGCTCTGCCTCCATCGGCGATACTATGTAGTCAATATCTTTATCAATGCACAAGAGCATCAGCATCTCCGCTACTTCAATATCAAAGAACGCTACAACATCCTTACACGCTTTGGTGACGTCTAACCCTGGTGTATTTCTCTTGTTCTGAACGAATGTATGTATTGAAATATTAATCAGTATAATTATTCGAAGTACACACACACTACTACAAATTTACGAACAAAAAAAAATATGCATCAACTGCATGCATCAGACATGCATCAGATCAATATACAGCATTTTAACACGCTTTGGAGACGTCAACACCAGGATCATGTCTATATTGTTCAGAACAAATGTATTAAAAAGTATTCAGTATAGTTACGCGAGGCACACACACATTATTATAAACTTACTAGCAATTTTTTTTGCATGCGTCAACTACATACAACACACCTTAATATATTCTCAGATTGGAGCCATCGCCTTTTCCCTGTTTTCAGCACGCTTGTCATTCGCTAGCTTACCTTTCACCCTATATCCATCAAATACTATCATCAGTCTTAATGTTCCTTGGCCATATGACTGCAATCGTTGGAAAGTTGCCCCGTACACCAAGTAATAAAGGTTGATAATTTTGGTCGAGAACAACTTCTGTAGCGTGTGTGTGCATGAAACTATGTGCAATATAGCTCGCGTCTATGCCTAAAACACCAACCAAGTGTGACAGTGGTGTCTTCACTAATAATGGGCGGTTCAACTCAAGCAGGCCTGCGCCATTGCTTGTGGTTACTTATATGCGCGTACAAATGAACTACTTATGTGTGCACATATACACATAAATATATTTTTCTTATCAGTATGTTACAGTCAATATTAACTATCAAATTATTGGCGCGCACTTCGCTATAGAATAATTTTTAATTCCGGGACGGCTCAGACGGGCCAGACCCTGTTTATTAATTCAGTGGGTGAAGTGCTATATTTTCATCTCTTTTGTCTAATACGACACCCGTCACTATAAAATTATTAACGCCCGAGCCCTAGTATTCCTATGTATATGCCTATATGGTGAATTTGTTTTGAATTTATGTTCTAAAAATACAATTGCGGTTAATGAAATCACAGAATAGGACAAAATCCCTTGGACCTGAAATTTACAACAGAAGGGGACAAAACCAAATTCAACATTGTTGAACTACAGTGCAATTTGTGCAAACCAAACGATTATATTTTACATAGCCCTCTTTTCTTCTCTTGTGTTTTATGTATATTATAAGAAGGCTGTGGGCTATGAAACGAGGTGTTTTTTAATAATATTCAGAACTTCAGAAGTATGGATCCACGAATTCATGCTCACACAGGTTTAACAGAACATTGGCTCTCTCTAGCTAGTCTGAGGCGTTGTTTTGTATTTCAGGTGACATGTGTAGATTATGTACCGAAAACTGATACTTGAGTGTTGTAATAACTTGTATCGGTAATTTTTTTTGCGGTGTACATACTGAATAGTTCGGTACTTGTGGCCATACGTGGGCACATAAATATCAACCCTACCTTTGCGAACGGACCGGATGCGGTTTTGGACACGGGCTCGGGTGATAATAATTTTATAGTGACAGGTGTCGTATAGGCTAGGTCATGTATGTACATCTTTTGAATGTCCCTTTTCCCCCGCACAGGGGGGTATAAGAGTGCTGTGATGGGGGTGAGCCTATGAGAGTGTGAGGTATATTTATTTTAAAATTTGCATAGTATTTTTAGATAAGCTCGAAATTTGAAAATTTGAAAATTTGTTGATCAATAAAAAGTGTGTTCAAAGAAGTGTGATTCTATTGTGGCTTCGAAAACCCTGTCAGTTGGCAACAATTGTTTAATGTTTCTGATTTTCTGCGACAGATATTTTCAATTTTTTCCCCGCAGGGGTATAAGGATACACTCATTACATTGTGATGGGTGTGGGACTGTGGGGTATATGTTCAAATTTGCATAGTTGTAAAGCCAACTGGTCGTGACACGAAAGTACAAGGGTTTGAGAAAACTAAGATTTATTTGCCTTTGGTTGGTCCCAAGCTCTACAGTTGAAAAGTGAGCTTGGGAGAACCAAACCTTCGTATTGATATCGGAGCAAACGCAAAGCCCGTTGGATTCGTCAAGATAGTTGGCCCGCGCAAATATCCAACTGCCACGTTTGCGATTTTTCCAAGTTAATACCATTATAGGTACACAACAGCAGTAGGTCGTGGGTTAAGTATACCTGTTGGGGGACTCATAGTACCAAGTGACTGCCAAAAAGAAATAGGAATAGGGAAATATTTGTCCGGTGGACGGGGAACACTAGATATAAGGCCAGCAATAGTATAAGGCCATGAGGAGGCATGCCAAGTAACTGGTGCTCATTTTTTAGAAATGTGTCCGGCGCATGTGGAATAACAATAGGCATAGCTATTAGCGAATGGAAGGAGAAAGGAAGCTATGAACATGAAGCCCAATGTGGCAAGATAGCGATAGCCTTACAGTAGCGAGTAGCTAGGAAACGGCGGAAGAACTGGTGGTAAATGGGCCACGGTGGGTTAACTAATACGAAAGAACCCGTAAGGTTGAATTATTCAGCTCGGCAACGTTCGGTACCCCCCAATGCTGCACAATAACGGGGAAGATGATGACATGTGGAACTCGCATAGAGATCAACATCAGACACCACCCATTTCTTGAAGAAGAGGGAAATCCATGCGGGATTGATCATCAACTCACCTGAATATGCATGAGGGTGAGGAGATAGAGTTGCAACTAGCGAAGGATGCGGCGGAATCTCATCCACCGGGCCCCAAGTAACATGTTTATGAACAAAAAGCATTCTGGGGTCCAATTGCGCAGGCTGGCGGGAAAGCCTATCTGCTACGTAATTCCATTTACCGGGTATGTGACGGATATCCACGCGATGGTGGCGGATTTTCTCCACGAGACGCTTAAGGCGATCACCACGAGCAGTCTTAAGGAAAGAGAAATTAACATGGAAGAAAGTAAGCACATTAAGGTGATCCGTCCAGACAGTTAGGGCATGATAATTGGCAGTAATAGTCATCTCCTCCTTATCAACAGCATAAGCAATAGCCATAATTTATAGGTCACAAATATGATAACGACGTTGGGCCGCATTCAATTTGGTACCTCGGTATGAGAATGGAAAAAGACGGTCGATGCCATTAATACAAAAACCGTCAACACGAGGGTCAACCACCTGAGATTAATCAGTAACCACGGTGGAATGGCAAGAGTATGTACTTGCAGGAGCCAGGAAAAGTTTCTCCCGCTCAGAAAGTGTTTCTTGCTGGGTTTACCTGACTCGTTTATGGGCCGGGAGTGTAAAATCAGGGGTCGTAGGGAAGGGGAAGGAACACTTCTGAGACGAAAGGCTACCGAGAGGTCGTTGCTGTGGCAGTGGGGTAGGGGTACGTTGGGCAGCAAGGCGGCGCTTTTGGCGGGATAGGCTTTTGTCTAAGGCAGCAGCAGCAGTATTGAGTCGCTTAGAACTCAAGGGTTGAACCCAATCCTTTGGGAAAGGTGCAGGCAACTCACCCTGACGAGGAATCCAGACAAAAAGTCCACAACCAATGCCAATGGGGCATGCGTCAACAAACATGTGGAGATAATGGGCAGGGTCAGGGGAAACTAACATAATGGTACCTTGAATAGCCTCGTTAATCATCGTATTCGCAGCATGACAATCTGCAGAATAATGAAAACGTGTATTCTTAGACGTTAAGTCCGTCAATGGGCCATCATAATGGCCAAATTGGGGATATATTGAGACCACCAATTGAGAGTGGCACAAAACACTTCGACTTTGTCCTTGGTTTTTGGTTGGGGCATAGAAACAATATCATTGGCGGTATTCTGTAATTGATGTATAATTATGGATAGTTTGGCGACCATAAAATATTTTGGTACTTCCCTAAGGAGCATTGAAAGACACTTGGAAGCCCCCGTAAACGGATTTTCATTTTAACACAAATACGCGCATACGCAAGCTTATCATTCCAGTGCTGAGAAATTGCCTCGCGGCTATAGTGGGCCTTGGCGCCGTCATCGACAAAGTGCTTGAGGGCTTGGCGGAGGGCAGCAAATAAACCATCCACAAAGGCTTGCAAATCAACGGTCATCATTTTCACCCCGAAGACTCCATTGACAGGTTGCCAAACATCACCTGTAGACGTTATCCAGATAAGATACCGACGAGAGCGCTTTGTGCAACGCAATTGGTTAAAGCTGCATGCCATATACATTGTAGAAACAATGTCACCCCGCCGGATATGATCTAAACATTCCTGCCCAGTAAGGCATGGGGTAGGAAACAACGTCAAAATTTTCATTGTTAACCTTATAATTTTGGCAATAGCGAACATCCTTGATAATCTTAGGCTTCACACGGGGGTTCTTTCGTGCCAAAACAGCACTAGACATATAGGGTGAGAAATAATCTCCAGGTTCTATGACACCGCGAGCGTAGTCACGGGCGCATATCTCTTGTTCTCATTGTATATACTGTGGGTTCTTGAGCTTGTATATGATACGCTTAGGCCTGGCATTTGCCTTGATTTTTATATCGACCTCATAATCACGGATAGTATTGTGATTGGATTCGTCGTAACGAATGCTATTGAACAAATCTTTGAACTCTTTGACCTGTTGTAGTGTTTTGTTCAAATAAAGAGCAGTAGCATTAACTCCCATCCCAGTTGTATTCCTCAAGGGTACCCGGAGAATCACGGCAACGGCGTTTGAATTCAACAACAGCAGCCTCATCAATAAGAGCTGGTACCAAGAGGCCAATATAAGGGTTAGACGGAGACGCCAAAGAAGATGGAGACGCAGACTGAATGACAGGTGCACGTTCTGAACTGAAGGCCAAATGTGGGTTGTTCGGTAGATTTTTTCCAGTAGGGTTTAGGGTTTTTGGTGCGCAAGAGAATATATCTCTGAGTAATGAAGCTTAATAAAAAGTCGCATCCATTAGGAATTTCATCAGAAAGGTAGAAAACAGAGTCCTTTGTTTCAAAATAACTCGTTTGGGAAGCATTAGTAAATATCTGTATAAGCACAGAGATATCAGTTTGTTGAGTAGGGGGTTGAAGCGTAACACCTCCGAACGGCTTCATTAATACATGCTCGATGTTCTGGATTTTCAGACCCTCAGATATTGCCAACTGTTTATTGACGAGATTTGGTATAGCGCTATCATTCACATAGTATAACACACAAGAAGAGACGAAGTAAGCAGGAACCACCGGGCCCACGCAATATCAATCGGCGCGGATATTTAGGGTACCAGAGAAATTGTTATATGGGCGGGCATTGGGCAACTTGGTGACCAGGTTTGTAGCAGTTGTAGCACACATTCTCACCGTCAGCGTTTTGCCTGGAGTAACAGGGTTAGCTGTAGGTGTGCGGGAGCGTGCGGGGCGCACATCTTGGGACTGGGAGCGACCATGATTATCATTGAACGCAGGTGTAGTAGACTGGGAGCGGGAACCAACGCCAGAATCATTGCGTGAAGAGCTGGAATCATAATCGTCAGAACGGCCGTGTCGAGGACGAGAAATACCGGCACGGTCGCCATGAGAGTCAGAGTCACGACGGTTGCCACGGCCATTAACATACCCTCGGTCGCGACTGTCATGATCGACACGATCACGGTTGCGATCTGCACGATGGGTGTCATCACCACGGCGAGTGTTACCGCCAGCATTGTTCCGACCAGCACGACCTTGATCACGGGTAGTGGGGCGTCCTCGGTCTCTCTCACGAAGGCGTTTAATTGCTCGTGGTTCCGGAGGGTAATTGGAATACTTTCGAACAAACGATTCCTCCAGGATTGCAACACCGATAGAGCACCCTGCCTGCTGGTTATGAAACCCAATGAAGAAAGCATTTTCCAAATTCTCCAACCAAATCTGGAAGAATTCAGCGATACGCTGATGAAAATTATCCAGGTAACGTTCAATCAGAGTGGAATCGTGGCGTAGCACGTGGTAAAGGCGATCCATGTAAAAAGGGTCACTGGTCAACGGCAGGAGTAAAGCGTGGACAGAACGACGGTCCTGGCTAGCACCCTTATGGAGATTCTCCAACAACATGTCGTTGATAATGAACTCATTTTGAGTAGACAGCTTGGGGGCAGTACGCTTCCATGCTTTCGTATAAGGGGTCACGATGGTAGAGCTCGGGGCGCTCAGGGACCCATGTTTTGAGGGATTCCTCGTACACGAAACCGTCGCCCCAGTCCTTAATCTCACCATTCTCATCGAAGGCCCTCAGCAGCACGTAACATCCAGCGGCTGATTTAGGAGGAATATTATCCTTCTCGTCATCAGATTCGTCTTCAGTTTCACGCTGTTGACGCTGTTCATTCTCCTTAGCTTTGACAGCCTGCTCCTAAGCACGCTGAGCTGCCCGCTCAACTTTCTGTTCGTCCGTAAGGTTGGTTTCCTCATCAACTTGGGCATTCTTATCTTCAATACTCCTGACCAATTCTTTAATTTTAGCCTGGGCACGTAAGAGTTCAACACGTAATTCCAAGGCAGACATCTGTGGGGCCTGTGTCTCCAAGTAAGCCTTAGCTCTCAGGGGTACACGGTTGGTTAATCCTTGGTGCACGTAAGCACCTTGGATTTCTTCCAGATCACGGTAAGCGAGCATATGAATTCACGCAGCCAACAGATCCGGTAATAAGGGAGCCCCTTATCGGGTCCTTTGAGGGAAGCCGCGATTTAGAAAATACGGGATTCCTGCCCCATCTTGAAGAATAGGTGGCGCATAGGTCCAAATTCCCGCAACACGTAAGCAATCAATTAAATCGCCGTTGTGGAAGGGGTAATGAACAGGTCAATCAAATGCCAATAGGAAGTGTCCAAATACTTCATTAAGGCATTGATCTTGGCACTCCGTCCGGAAGAAGTAGACGTATCATCCAAGCTACGGAAAGGTTTCTGTACAATCTAATTTTGAATTTTGCGTACCCAAGGCACAATAGGGCGATCGAGGTCGAAACGCAGCAGATAAGGCTCGTCATTGTCTTTCTGGGCATTGCCCTTGCCGTTGTTCTTTGGCATTGTTGATAAGAAAGCACACTCTACGTAACAGGAGAGCAAACGCAAAGCCCGTTGGATTGGTCAAGGCTGTTGGCCCGCGCAAATATCCAACTGCCACGTTGGCGGGGTTTCTAAGGTGTCACTGGTTTAGGACCACCAGGTTTTACATAGTGGACAAGCTCGAAGATTGAACATATGACCAATGAAAAGTGCGTTTAAGAAATGTGATTTTATTGGCTGCGAAAAACCCGGTCAGTTGGCAATTGTATAGCGTTTCTGATTTTTTGCGACACAAATTTCAATTTTTGTGTTTTGTGTTCAGCTGGACAATCTACCAAACGTGATGATTCTACCAAACGTGTATTTTTTAAAAAAATAATAAAATTGTGTCCCTGTCGCATTGTTGGGAAAGATTAGTGAAAACCGTCAGTTCCATTTGCCGGAACTATGAATATCAGTTCGTTACAAAATCAGCTGGAAAGATGATTCTACCGAAAAGACAACTCTCGTGTATTAATTTTTACTTTTATTGTGTCCCTGTCGCATTGATGGGAAATATTAGTGAAAATCGTCAGTTACATTTGCCGGAACTTTGAATAACAGTTCGTCACAAAATCAGCTGGAAAGATGATTCTACCGAAAAACAACTCTCGTGTATTTAATAATTTTTTTATTGTGTCCCTCGTCGCATTGATGGGAAAGATTAGTGAAAACCGTCAGTTCCATTTGCTGGAACTTTGAATACCAGTTCGGGACAATAAATGCATGGCCCTCTGGATTTGGGCCTCGAGCAGAAATCAGGTTTCTTCCGACGACAATCGTAACTTTTGGCAGATCCAAAGCAACCCAAATCCAGAGCGCCATGGCAGATTACATAGCCGTTTTAGGACAAACCTAGTTTGTCCACTTTTAGGTCTTAAACCTCAACCGAGTTTTGTTCCCGACTGCCACGCGACTATTGAACGGTCCATGTGCAGCAGAATATTCTGTTCATTATATGTAAGTTTTTCATCTTGTAATAAAAGTTTAGTTACTAAGAAACATCTGAAGGATAGGTATATATAGGTTATGGGCCTTTTATTGACTTACATATCCGTTCACTAATCTACGATGCTTTCTAGCTGACCCAAAATCCCAACCATCTCTTGGTCGATCCTGACTGGATTACTGATCTTGATATGGCATCTACGGCCACCAGTACAAATGATCTTTCTCCTATTCTTCACTACACCCCTCCTACTGAGGTAGTTACTGAAACCTAAAGGAATGGACACCTGCCCAGACGGCCTCCATGAAAGAGCTCTTTATAGATGGTCTTTCTGACGTCGACAAGTACCATACTCAGAACGTCTATCTCATGTCCTTTAAGAATCGCGATGGCATTACCATTTACCATATGCTAGAGTATCTTGAGAAGCTGCATGCGACGCCTTCGCTCTCCTCCAATGACGAAGCGATCCCAGGCGTTGCACGAACTACACCAGCCGCTTAACTAACAATCCAGGATGTTGTACGGATGATAAATGAACTTAAGACAGCCACCTAAAAGCCTAACAATCGTCAAATGCTCTGTTTTGTGTGTCAGAAGTCGACACACGTCTCCTCTCTTTGTCCTAAGGCCTGCGGTCGTTGTGGCGACATGACCCACAACAGTAGATCCTGTACCGCACAGTCCCTGAAATGCACACAATGTTCAAAGAAAAAACATTTAGCGATTGTGTGCTCAAAACGTAATAAACATCATTTTCCCTATCCTGGCATCTCTACCATTGCACGCATAACAATACCCACTATTTGTAAAGCTACGCAATCTTCTCTATACATAACACTGACTCACTACTTGTTGACGGAGGCGCCACAGTAAATTATATGCACTGCTTAGCACGGAAAATACTCACAAACATAGAAACGGGTAAATTTCTTTTACGGCTGGCCGATAACAGCATTAAATACATCACTGTCCGCGGGCACATGACCTCAACTAGGCTCTACATACCTGGATCCAGATCTTACCCAAGGACTCTTCGCCCAAAACAATCTACAAGATTGTGGTTTAACCGTAAAGTTTACCGGCGATAGCCAAGAATGCTACCTTGGACTCCGCACGTCCTCCATTACGCTACTACCAACTTCAAGTGGCTACTATGTCTCCTACGACTCACTACAACAACTATTCTCTCCTCCGAAGGCCTCACTTCTGACTACTTCACGTCCACTTTCTACCCTGCCCACCACCCGCGCCCCTCTACTGGCTAATCCATCTCACAATCCTACTGTCTTTCTCCCACCGTCTAACGTAGCTACGATAACGGCCAGCAACTCAGCGTCACCTACCAATTTATCTAGCATCACACCTAACCCTACCAATTTATCTAGCATCACACCTAACCCAACGCAACCTTCCCCCCCTCCAACAACATTAACTTCTCTTCCAGAAACTACCCACCCTCAATCTTCAACAACACGTACACCACACACTACTATGACATCGCAATCGCAGAGTCACTCTCCGTATGGCAAAGTATTGAGAATATAACACTCACACATCCTTCCCCTCTTAACGTCACGACAGATAAGTGGGTGTTCAACTCCGAACTTCTTAAGGCGGCACTAGACTTCTTAGGGGATACACCTATACTTGACATATGTGCTTCTAAAGTCACTGCCTAATTTCCCCGATACGTGTCACCAGAAGGTGGTGGTATAGTATAGCCCTCGACTGGTCCGATATAGATCTCCTCCAGGAACTGGCATATGTTTGTCCACCATGGTCACTCATCAAGGACACACTCGCAGCAAATACAAAGGCAGCTAGTACATTAGTTCTTGTCGCACCCCTTCGCCCTGCAGCTCCTTGGTGGCCGGCACTCCTCTAGCACATCTACAAAGTCAACCCTTTATAGTTCAGAACACGGCGACTTGGTACCTCTTCGGCTGGTAAACCCAGGTTGTGATCTCAACCTGGCTATTGCCTATGCGAAGGCTAACCCAGAATTTCCATAACATTGTAACACATGTATTGAGGGCAAACTTAAAGCTACCAATGTCCCCCATCAATCTACTTACACAATCTATGGACCCGGCGAGAGGTTCCACACTGACCTCCAGGGGCCCACTCCCACCAAGTCGATATGAAAATATCTACATTATGAATATGTTTGATGCAAGTACGCGTTACGGTCTTCACAAAGCCATCGCTAACGAGCAAACCATGTTTAATAATGATAATCAATTACTTACGGACGTCCCAGCCTTCTGGGTACCGGACACTCTTACGGCCGATAACGACACGCCGCATACAACTCAGACGTCCGCCACCTTACTCTCCATCGCAGAATGCCAAAGTCAAACGTCCACATGACACACTGAACGGTTTGATTCGATTACTACTTATTGACTCCGGGATGCCCCCGTCCTGCCTGGGAAGATGCTCTCCTCTGGGCAGGCGATATTCGTCACGGGACTCTCGGAGAAAACGACAAGCTCCGCACTCCCGCACAAACATTTCTCCAAGAGGCTCACGCACGCGATCCCAAAGCTCGGTTCGGCTGTGTAGTTATGTTTTAACTCCGCGGAAAAGCTGCCACACGCGCCACGAAGCATGAACCACAAGTGGGTTTTGGCGTCTTGCTCGGTCGTAGTTTTAACTCTACCCCCTACTGTTACCGAATACAGAAATTCGCTACGCAGCGGCAAATCGATACCCAAGATGTTCAATTTATTGCGGAAGAAAACGCACAGTGGTCTCCCGATGGGCGTACTGCCACCCTCTCCACGACTACTAGCTCGTATAATATACATCCTGACTGGTCCCTAACGAACAAGCCCCTCTGACACTGCTATTCCTTTTCAAGGACATATTCTTCCGGTTGGCCCCGCTTGTACCAGACGTTCAACAGGCCAATCTACCGCCTGAACCCCAAAACGCACCACTGCCCCCCGCTTTCACTGATCCTTCCCCTTCACCTACCACTAGTTACACCCCACCCCACCTACTACACACCAGCCCACTCCGACCTCACAACCCACCGCACACACCCCCACTACCTTACCCACAACCCACTGCACACACCCCCACTACCTTACCCACACCCCAAACGCTCCACCTCCCTCATCTTCCACTCACACCTATGCCTCCTACCCCCTGCCACCCCTCCTTTCACTGTCACTTCTCACCAACCCATTCCACCACTGACAGCCCCTTACCGCCCACACCAGCCACACCTCCTGTAATATTTTTTACGCCGCCGCACCCATTCCCCAGTTCTTTAATCACTGTCCCTCGCCCCTGCCAACAACCACCACTCACATCTCTCCCCAGACCTGACACTCGTACACCACCGGCGCCTCCACCACCTAACTCTTCTTCATTCATCGATTCCCTCCCTCTACACCGCATGTCGCCTTTGTCGACCACATTTAGCGAGGCCAGGCCACCCGTCGACTCGGCCGAAGCCTCGATCGCCTACCTCCGTGAGCACCCTGCCCACATTTCTTCCGTGCGCACTATTACACCCACGACTCGCTCCAAAATCACCCTGTTTGAGGCTGCATCTTTCCAAGACCCTAACGTCACCAAATCTATTGCAAGCGCACAGAAATCCAAATCGTGGCCTGCATGGGCCGCTGCCATAGACACCGAGCGTGCTCATCATATCCGGAATGACCTCGCTGATGTCATCCCCCTGACGGACGTCCCCAAGGACTCAAAACATCATTCATAGTAAATATGCATTTGCACTTAAACATGACGAGCATGGCCAGCTGACCCGCTATAGGGCGAGGATGGTTGCTCGTGATGACGAGCAACAACACAGCGATAGTTTCACCGATACTTACGCACCGGCAGTCCATTCTACCGCATACGTCTCTTCTTTGTTAAAGCTACTTTTGAACGGAAAGTGGTCCACTACTTCGACGTTACATCCGCCTATCTTTACAGCAAACTGAATTTTCCAGTCTATATGCTGCCACCAAAGGGGTCTGTCGAACTGGGTCACTAGCCTCTTAATCACGTCCTCAAGCTGAAGCGCGGCCTCTATGGACTTAAACAGTCCGGCCGACTCTGGAATTTAGACATTGGTGCCAAGCTTCGCCACGCTGATTTTCAACAATCGGACGCTGACGAGACCATCTGAATTCATCGTTCCCAGGACCTTGTCGTCGTCATTTATGTCGATGAGATTCTTCCGGCCGTTGACCCACAGACTACGGACGATCAATGACTCTACATACAACTCTCTACCCACTACAACATGACTAGCCTGGGCATAGCTCGTCATGTCGTCGGGTTCCGTGTTATACAGGATGGATCAGGGACTATCTCCCTTTTACAAGACGCATATATATACAGCGTATGATCGACACATTCCCATGTCCAGGACACTCCTCCGAAACCAACACCTGGCACTGACACACATCCAGGAGAACTAACTGGCGAGCCATTCTCTGGTCGATTCCGCAGTCTTCTTGGCGCCCTGAGCTTTGCTGTCAATATGACACGTGTCGACATAGTTTGCACACTTAGCCAACTCGCTGCATTTTCTGCTGCTCCATTGGTTCCGCACTACGATGCTCTCATTAGGATCCTACTCTAACTTGCAGGGACGATTAATTTTGCACTTACATTTCATCCTCGTACATCCACTCAGACCTTGGATATCGCCCTGTTATCTTATGCGGACTCCGACTGGGCAACAAGCCCTCTCACCCGGAAATCACAAACAGGTACTCTTATCTGTTTCAACTCTAACCCCATATATTGGCGGTCGCAAAAATAGAAAACGGTTTCCATCAGCTCTGGAGAAGCCGAATATATCGCAAGATCTGATACAACCCGCTCTAAAGCCTGGATTCACAACCTAATGACGGCATTTGGCTACAAATTAACTCTTTCCAACCCGCTTGCATATGAGTCTCGGAAAAATTCAACTGCTGACAGTAAAAATTCATTTTTGTTACACAAATTCTGGGTTTATATCTATGTATTGTTTCGGTCGTATGACCAAGGTCAGACTCTTTAACAATATACTACTCCTTCCTATCACCAGTCATACCGCCCGTGTAGCCTATTGGTCCTAGATCATTACCAATACTTCCCCATTGGTCATGAGCATCCACTGATGACTGTATTGCAGCTTTTGCCATCCCAAAACTACAGTATTCTCCATAATATAGCAGTTGTATGGACTAGTTTCGTGAAAATTGTTCAAACACAGGATCGTACTTTTTGCACCTTTTTTACGACTTTGTTTGACCCTTGTGCATTCCGCACTGAGAACGTGAATCAATTGGATATCGTAAAGTCCACCCATAATACTACTTGTAGGGCCCGGCCCGCCCGCGGAATTTGCACTACCTACAGGGTCGTACATTTTAAACACACAGAACAAAACGCAAAACATAGATATATAGGCACAAAAAAAACACACACAAAACTACAAATAAAGCATACTATAACCATGTCTAATCCAGAGACTCTGGTAGTGTACAACACAATCACACGTGAATTCCTAAATTGGTTTAGACCTAACTACAACTTTGATCAACATACTGATTTTGAAAGCAAATAATGCCAAGTTGAGATAAATACTTTTGGCCATTCAGCCAGACGATCTCTGTCGATATTTCAATTAACTTGCATATAGTGTCCAGGTTTCTGGACCAGACGATAGGCCTACTTTGAGAAGGGCTAACGGTATTCTCTTCGATAAGAAGGCGATATCATGGTACATGCCACGAAATAATGAGTGGGACATAGTAGATGATTAGTGTAAACCAATTAAATCACCGGCGCTGAACAATCTGTTCAAACAAGTTGCACGTTGGGAGCTTCGTGGCGAAGGTAAGCCAAGATCAGAGAAGAAACCACTTGAGTATAATGAGTATAAGAACATATTGAAAATCAATCTTGAACACGCCAGCTTCCAAAACTCAACTCTGCATGGATTGTGGACGTGGACGTTTCAACTTGTGTGCAGGGTCGATGATGCGTGTAACTTGAAGTACGAGTATTTGAAAAATATAGCAGGGGTATTAAAACTGCTTATTTATAGAGGTCGTGCAGAGCAAAAATATAAGCAACAGAAATCAAGTATCAAGGCAGGTAGTACTAGGCAGCATGGATTCTTATTTGTGTGCGCTTGTGGGTTTGACCGCCCATCTGATTGAAAGGTTCGACGATAGTGCTGATCCGTCCACGTAGATTTTAGAGTGAATGTTCACTGCCAATGGTCAAACTGGTAGGGATGATCAGTTGAAAACTGACTACTCAAGAAGTGCACTGAAGAGAATAGTAGCACTAGATGGGTTTGAGGCAATGGGATCGGTACCTAACATATGTACACATAGTTTTAGGAAATGTCCATGCACATATGTACAACGTAGGGGAACTACCAAGGGGGACGTTAATGCTAGGGGTAGATGGGCTATAAAACTTGACGGAACGCCGAGATACAGACAAAGAAGGTAAGTGGACACATACACAAGTAACCTGCTGCCTTATCCAGACGCAAAGGTATCCGAACAACTTTGCGGTCCTAGAGGACCTTGTATATATAAAGTACAGCAAAATGCAGAGATAATAGACACCGAGGAGATTTTAAGCGGTGTAATACCAGGTCTTTATGACCTAACAAACATACACGAAGCGCACAAAAGACTATTTGCCACCATTAGGTTATACTTAGCGCTAACGGACAGTGTACTGATAAGTGTGGAATTTAAACAGACAGTTATGGCACACATGAATGAGAACTTTAACATACATCCAGACACTGATTTGACAAAAGTTGTTGTCAAACAACAAGTACTAATAGTACGCGATAGTAATGACAGCTTTCGCATACAAGAGATCGATGGCGCACCAGGGGTCGGGAATGTAAAACACATGAATGTGCAAGACTTGCACAATGAAATATTAGGACTCACAGTAGAAGTACGCCACCTGAAACAAATGACGGAGGAGGATAAGCTGGAGTACATCGCACAAAATACTAGACTAAGAAAACTAGTGCTGACGACAAGGAAAGACATGGCAGCAGTTTTCCACCGTACGTAACTACCATACAGAGCACGACGTAATGCGCAGAACCAACAGCAGAACAATAATCAGCAGCAAAACAATCCACCACAAAATGATCCACCACATGTCAATCATGAACACAATCTCGGACAACAGCCAAATGTACGGGAACCAATACTTAGCAAAGGGCCTAAAACACTATGGAACCTTTGGCTCGAATACGAAGAAGGGCTAGATAACAATAAAGCCGCGAAGAACTTCACAGATAGGGAAAGAGGACAAGTTAAAACTACCTATAGTTTTAGAAATCCCTTTTGGAGATCGATGGAGAAAAATCTATCGAAAGGACACACTGCGCAGGCCGCAATAGAGATACTGTATACTGTCTACGTAGAGTGTAGTAAACACGTCAAATACGGTCATAAATCCTACTGAGGCTCAGTGAGCCTCGGTCAGGTATATTTATTAAGTCACTGGACTGTTTACGTGAGTTCCGTAGAGTCTCACCATATGCGACTCTATGGAACTAAAACCTGCTAATTATGTATATCCTAAACCTAACCAGATTTATCCCATCAAGGAGTTTTATTACACTCCCCCCAAGCTTGAGCATCACTGGTGATGGGAGAGCTTCTCTAAAGATGAAATTCCTTAAAATCATTGTCTTTGATGTCGAGATTATATCCGCCTGTCGCGGATCAAAGCTGTGCCTGAAGCAACAGTGCGTAACGTATTGCAATTACCTTGGAATAACGGTCCTTGCCGACCGGAACACTGGCTATGCGACGAAACTCAGGCCGCCTTGCCTATGGGAACATTTTAGGTCGAAGACGACCCATTAGCTGGCTCATCACCTTGGAGGTGGGGTGCTCGCAATTAAGTCTGCTCGAGCTAGAGACTATTCGTGGTGCCTAGAGAATAGGAACACTTTAGGGTATAACCGACCTACAAACTGGCGTGTGCCTTCATTGTTGAAACAATAAGTATTTTAATAAAATAAGTTTAGTAGGGTCCGAAGCTATTACATCCCTGGATTCTGCAACTCTCTTCTCTTCTTTCTCGTTTGATCTGCCTTATGGTATGCGGCAATGTCATTTGGGTCATCGAAGGCTTCTGATGTCTCCCATATGGGACTGCTTTCCTTCCACCGAACTAAGTATTCCATGACGCCGGAGTGGTCATTCTGGCGGTGTCGGATGATGTGCCTGAAAGCCGAACCCTGTTCTTGCCACATCTCGTTCGCCAGAGGTGGATCCGTTGCTCTATGTACCAAGCGCAACAGTTCCACTCTGACCGGCTTGCCCTTGAACGTGCTTGGGGTGGTGCCGTCTTTGTTCGCCAGGATATATCCTTGACCCTGTTGTTGTTTGACCACGTACGGACCAAACATTGGTCGCATTGCCTTTGTCGTTCGGCCCTCCGACTTCACCAATAACCACATCACCGTCCTGGAACGTGACTAAGTCGTACGCATGGAGTCCATCGAACTGCTTCGCCAGTGAGTCTGCATACTTATCGGTAGAATAGTATCGTGTAACCTATCCATGCGATGGGCCCACGTCTCATTGGTGACTGGCTGGCTATCTGGCAGATCGTCGGTAAAATTTGTGAACGGAACATGCTTTCTTCCAAAGTACGCACTGAATGGGGCTGTCTTGTGCCTGCGTGAGATGCGGAGATTCTGACAGAGCATGATCAATGGCAGTCTGACGTCCCACGCCGTTGGAAGCGACCTGCAGAGTTTGCTCACCCTTCGTGGATGTCTCTGTGTCTACGTTCCGCAGTTCCCAAAACATGCGGCCGGTATGGTGGTGACCCGGTATGGTGGTGACTTTGCGGGCATGATGCCTACCTCTTGCGTGAGTAGCCGTGGAATCTTGTTGGAGAATTCGCCCCCTTCGTCTGACTGGAGCTTCCGTGGGAAACCATGTGCTCCGAACACTTTCATCAGTTCGGCTGTGACATCTTCCGCGGATTTGCTCTTAGTTGCAATCAAGGTAGAGTAGCCTGGGGCTATGTCTATAACATGGAGGATTTACTTATATCCTGTCGTGGAGATGAGTGGCATGGGTATTATGTCCACCTGTATGTGGTCCCATGGATACTTCGCATCGATGCTTATCAGGGGGTGGGACCCTTTTCTCAACACTCGTTGCCCAAGGCATGGCCTGCAATTGCAGCGTATTGTTTTGGCCAAGTCTAGTGCATTCGGCCACGAGTGACCGTTCTCCCGAAGTTGGGCCACTGTATCCTTTGCACTGTGATATCCGATCTCGTGTTGGCTCAGTGTAAGTTGGGGGCGTCTTTTCATTTCATCGGCACTCGGGTGGTCTCCCATTGCTACCTCCGTTGTGGCGATCGAAATCAGCCTCGCTATATCTAACGGAGTCGATCTTTGATTGGAGCGGGGCTCTGCATACCCTAGGCTGCGCGAGAACGAGGTGGGTAGCTGATAGCCAGACTTTGGGCCAACTTGTGCTATAACCGTGTGGCCCCATGGTGTCTTTCCACAGGCGATCTTGCCATCCTTCAAGAAAGTATGCGCTGTTCTTGGAACTAAGATTGTATATATACACACACACACACACACACACAC